TGAAAACGAATAAATGGAGCTTATATTATCTTATTTTGTATAATTAGTTTTATTTTTCGGAAGAGTCAAAATATGTGTTAAATGTAATTATTTTTTGAAACTTAACGGATATAAAAAATTTATGAAAGTATTGAGTAAGATACTTATCGCGTAAACTTTATAAAATTTCATTTCGCAATTGTTTTTAATTAAGGTAAACCGGGCTAATCTATTTATCGATGCATGCAATGTGTAATTCCCTGGGTATTTTTAGAATTTTTTTTTCTATATATTTTTAATTGGGCTTGTATAGCCTGGTTGGTAGGGCACCGGGACTCATGTTCGTGAGAACGGGAGCTCAAATCCAGCCGGCAGAAGACTCCCAGTGTGGTCAATGGTGACTGGTGCACTCTAAATCTGCAGGATCACAAAGTCCTCCATATTCTGGATGTACTGAATTGGAGATTGGTCGTTTTCTGGTTCAAGTCAAAATTACGATCTGTGGAGGAATGAATGGGTGTATTAATGGGTCCGCCCTATAAACGGGTGTGACTCATGGGTGTGGCAGGAGGCCCGTTTATTCTTAGTCATAGATGGCGCCACCAGAAAACAAAATCATTTGCACGCCACTACCGTAATGGCCTACTACATAAGCAACAAATTAATAACTTTAAAAAAATAATTAACCTTAACACATGTTTTTATTCCGCTTAAGTATATAGGTAGTTAAAGGACCGACATGATATAAGCTTCTTTAATTTGTAATTTTTATAATTACTTGTGATGCCATTATATATTTCCTTAAATTTATTTTTTTTTCTTAAATCTAATAATGTCTTATCCCTTTTTAAATAAATAAATTAGTTAATTAATATTTATTCAATTACATAAAAAACGAATTAATATGTTTCGATGCGGCCAACTTTTTATTTCAATGAAAGTGTATTTATTATTCAATATCACGGCAACAAAGCATCTCAATTTATTTATACCTTTCTTTCCCTCAGCCATATTAAACATTAGCTTGCACCTTATTAGGGTTACTATAATTTTCAGAAAGCTTTTTGGTCTCAAACCTTCAGTCATATTGTTTAAATCGTGTGGTTGGCTGAATTTGCTTTACCTATGGCAGAGTCTTTTTTCGATAACGCGCCTATAATGGATCTCTCCTGTGCTCTAAAAATGTTGATTAAATACTTAGCTTTTGAATTGATTATGATATGGCAGGTCATTGGATATTTTGTCTCCCTTGGCCTGACCCTATTAAAATCATCAATCTAAATTTATTATTTTACACATGACATAAAATGTTACATGGATTAGACTTTTATTTTGCAACTTGAGCTCATTATTATTAGTTTAGAAATAAAAAAACTTTATTCTAAATAACATCCACTTTTCATTATCTGCGATTAGTTTTGTTTTCATAATATACACCGAAGAACCATTACATTATGACCAGCTAATAACATGTAGGACAACCTTTAGCCCTCAAAATTATAGCACCCGCCGTGGCATTGATTCCACAAGGTGCTGATAGGTAGTCTGAGGTATCTGGTACCAAGCGCTCAACAACTGGTCCTGCAATTTCCTTACATTGCTAGAGGATAGCGTGGCAGCCCGAATTTGGTTTTCCAAGTAGGGCCAAAAATGCTCTATTGGATTAAGGTCAGGTGAATTTGGGGGCCAAGACATGACTTGAAAGTCACTGGAATGTTCCTCGACAATTCGACCCTTATGACATGGTGCATTATCCTATTGGTAAACACCATCCCCCGCAGGAGAAGCTGTTGCCATGAATGGGTGAACCCGGTCTGCAACTATGTTCAAATAGCTTACAGACGTTAGGGATTGTTCTATGAGGATTATGGGTCCTAATGTGCCCAATGAAAACATTTTTCCTGGGCGAGAAACCATTAAAACCTGGGCGAGCCTATTGTTATAGATGGAGGGTGGTCATAATGTAATGGCTCTTCGGTATATCTTCATCATTATTGTAGGAAGCATTATTTTCCTTTAATTTTGATTTTTACCGTTATCATCGAAAATCCATCCATTTCAATCTAAACTGTTTTCAATTACACTAATTTTAATACCAGGAGAATAAAAACATAGATAAAAGTAAATTATATTTGGAATCTTAGTGATTTAACAAACGCTTATTAAAATACGGAATAAAACGCCTATCAGTTAATAAAACTACCTTTTACATTTTTTTAATTAAGAAAACTCCGGATATGAAAAACTTAAAACTTTCATTTTTTAAAATGTTTAGAGTAATGATATCAAATTAAACAAGGAACGTATTGTGTTGTTATGTTTTACCTTAATTAAAGTGTGATATAAAACTTTTCCTTTTCCTCTCATTTTCAAATTCAAGTGATTCTAAAAGTTTGGATACCTTTTTTCTATAAATTTTTTTCGCAATTTGAATTTAAACAAATTACAGGTATCTCAAAGAATTGTAAAAAATGACTATTAAAAACATGGACTGCATTAATATTTGAAATATTTGATATGTTAACATTATTTTTGTTAAAAAAATTGATTGATTTAAATTTTGAAATCATTTCATTTGATAGGTATTTTGAATCATTTGATATGTTTTTAAGAAAAAATACATATAATTTTATGCATTTATTCTAAAAATTATTGTGATGAATTCTGAAAAGCTAATACCAATGTATTTCAGATAAAAATTCAAAGGATGAGTATATTTATTTTAAATAAAATTTAAATAGTTAATTCAAATACGACATAAAATATTGAAAATATTAAGTTCCTAAAAATTAAACTGCTCTTGGTATTGTAACTGATGGATTTGTTGCAAAAACAGAGCAAATCTTGTTTTTCAATTTTAATGGATTTTTGATTTTGGACAATATTGCTGCTACGATTAGTGCAATAACTGAGCTCAAATGTCCGATCAGTCATTTCCTGTGTAGTCCATAGTTTTGGGGAAATAATAATGCATTACTATTGCTGAAAATCTTTTGTTCAAACAAGATTCATAAAGAACTCTACGAAATTTATTTTAGCATTCGCTTTTACAAATATTAAAAATATTTTTAGTTTGGGAGAAATAATAATGCGCTACTATTGCTGAAAATCATTTGTTCAAACAAAATTGATAAAGAGCTCTACGAAATTTATTTTAGCATTCGTTTTTACAAATATTAAAAATAATTTTAATTTGGGGGAAATGATAATGCATTAATATTGCCTAGAATCTTTTGTTCAAACAAGATTCATAAAGAGCTCTACGAAATTTATTTTGGCATTCGTATTTTCAAATATTAAAAATACTTTTAATTCAAAAGCTTACGCTAATGATACGATTAATTAACAATTATTTTTATTTATTTAGGATTTTGATATAAATTTTTAATGAGTTTTATTATTTAAAAGCAGTATTGTTAACACAAGACAATGATCAAAATACAGTTTAGTTAATTAAATAAATATTGCTCGAAAACAGCCAAGTACTCATTAAAAGAAATACCCTTTTTATAAAGAACAGAAATTATGTTAAACGCGCAAATATATATGTAAAAAAAAGGAAACGTATTTTAAAATGTACAGATATTATCTTAGCAGAAATAAAATTAATGAAACACGAAACATATTATCAAAGTAAGCTTTTAATATAATCTGTAAGTGGAAATAAATGTTATTTTAAGGATTAAAAGCTCCTCGATCAGAAATTTAAATACGTGTTGGGTGACGGATCATATTTTAAACTATAAAACTGAACCGTTTGTTCTATTTATAAGCACATATATACTTTTTATTAACAAAATATCTTACAGATTATAAATATCTTTTAAATATATTTAAGGCTCTCAATTATGTCTTCAATCCTATTTTATTTAAAACTTGAGATGTTGTTTACATAGTACAAAGATAATAAAATGTCAAAGTTTAAGCAACTCTATTGATTACTTTTAAAAAAAAACACGCGTTTTTAAATTGAACATCACTAAACTGATGTTATAATATTTAATAATAGTTAATAAATTTTATGTAGTAATTAATAAGAAATATTTATTAATAAAATTTTTGGTAATAATTAATAAGTTCTGTGTAATAATTAGTAAGCGATATTAATTATGATTTTGGAAATAACTAATAAATTCTGTGTAATGATTAATAAGTAATAACAGTTATGATTTTTGATAATAATAAGTTTTATATGATAATTATTAAATAATGATAATTATAATTTTGGATAACATTAATTATAATCATTAAAGAAAAATTAGCACTTCATATTCATTAGAAGGAAAGTATTTGTAATGCTTGTTTCTAAGTTTAATTTCCATCTTTTTTTGTATATTTTTATGCTATGTGCAAAGATTCATAAAATACGCAGTTCGGATATTTTTAAATTTTATTTTAATTTTTATTATACAGGGTGATCCGTAATTGCTGCCTTTTAAATGTATTTTTCGATTTCTTATTCCATAAAGAAGTAGAAATAAAGTTTACACACTATAGGATACGAGAAAGTGGTTTTAAAAAATCTTCAAATTCATGCAAAGTCATTTTAATACCGCTGTTATAAAATGACAAGCCCATTGACAACCTGGTGCAAAAAGAGCAGTTGGTTTTTAATTTTTATGAGGATTTTTTATGTTTCAAAAAAGACTAATTATAAAAAAATGTGTTAAGTTATTTAGAAAAATGGCGACAATGCGTCAAAAATTCATTTGGATTAACAAATTTATTTTGGATAATATATTCAAGACAAAAAATTTATTTTGGATAATTTATTCTGTAAAGAAGAAACATTTTCCTTTGAAAGGCTTAAAAAATAGTATCAAATTCTATGTCCATTTTCTTAACTGTGTCTGTTTCTTAACTGTGTCTTAACTGTGTCTGCGTTTTGAACTGTGTCTGTTTTATTGAATATGCATTTTGAACTATGTCCAGGTTGGAAAACTGATCTGTTAGTAGCATAACTATAGAATAAACTACATTTTGAATCATTCGGTTAATTAATTGTTCTTTCTTTTCTGTAGTTGTTCAACAGAAGTTTGTGCCTCAAGTATATGATGATTTTGTTATTAGAGGGAATACGGCCGTACTTCGGTGTCATTTACCAGCATTTGTTAGGGAATACGTGACTATAGATTCATGGGTAATTGACGAAGATGTAGTTTTGAAAAGTACGGATATAGAAGGTGAGTATATTTTACTTTAAATTAACAATATTTTTATCATGCAGACTGAAAACAAATGAGAAATTAATTTTTAAAATCAGTTTAAACCATTTAACTTAGATTTTTTTATTCATTTTGAGTCTTTTTTATTGGTTTCAAAGGTTTTTAAAAAGTAATGCATAGATTTTTATTGACGATAGGTATTGAATATGTAAATAAAAGGCATATCTAAAATTCCTAACGTGGTTTTCGGAAGTTACAGCTAGAAAAAATATTTATTTTAACTGTTTATAGGCAATGATTTTAACTTATCTAAAAACTTTACAAATTTGAGAAAACTATATAGAGTTTAAGTTTAAAAGGGTCGGGAAAGAAAATGTACGAAGTATGTTTTTGTATAAGATTTTTTGATTCAAAATATCATCTGCACTGATTTATTAGCATGTTTAGATTTTTCTAGATTTATTAAGATTGAGTCGTAATACAGGAATATCCGATTATTAGATCAAAAGTTATTTAGGTTGTTCACCATTTGTGAGCACTGAATTCAATCTTTTATAAGCATAATTATGTGAAAATTTACGATCTGAAAATAAAGTAAAATAATAATATGGATCAGAAATATTAAATTTGGGAGACACATAAAACTAAATTAAGCATTGATTCCTTTTTTTTTACAAGAGCCGCTTATAAATAAACATTCATATTTACAAAAATATAATCTTATATTTATCGCTAAATGTGCTCATACTTAAGTGAACGACTCATATTACCTGGTTAGAAATTTCATTCACTTCAAAAATATATTATTAGAAAATTACAGTCGACATGTTTCAAGAGCTAAAAAACAGGTCTAAGAGTTTGCGTTTTTAAATAAAACAAGAGAAGAAAAATGTGCATAATATGCGTTGAAAACTCTATTGTTTAATTATGTTTTAAAATTAATTTAATTAATTTTAAAACATTTTGCATTCTGTCCTTCATTGTTTAACTATTTTCGAAAATAACCTTTCAGTGAATTTAAAAAAAAAATGTTGTTTAAAAATGCTTACATTTGATGATTCAGGATTCATGTTTGTTAAATCAAGGATTATTGAATTACTAACTTTCATATCAAGGATTCAATTTATTTCCAAGTTAAAATAAGATAACTTGCAAAGATTACACTCCAAAAGCTCTTCTCAATTACTTTACAAAATAAAGTACACTTTAAAATTCGTATCATGTTTTTACATTTTTATAGTTAAATTCTTCTCTTCTCGATCTAATCAATAATTTCCAATTTTTGAATAAAATTGTCAAAGCAAATTCCGTGAAACTATATAACTTTTTAAAATAAAATAATTCCGCTTCCCTGTGATGTTAATATAAACACTTCTTTTCCTCCCATGTAAGATAAATTGCACAAATAAGAATAAAAAAATAGTTCCTTACCTCAGGACAAATTGAAATTATCATAATTGCTTACAACATTTTACTTTATTTCTAAAGGTTGTCCCTCCTAATTGCTGAATAAGTTATTGTTTACGAACAATAGAATATATATTTTATCCAATAAGGATTTATTTATAAAATTTAGGATGCACATTGTTTGCTAGAAAAATAACATTATTAATTGCAGTCTGCAGTTTATAAGTGCATTGTGCAGATTGATTAACATAAAAACAAAGTACATTTTGATATGGAAGTATTTATCAAAACTCGAATAATGCTTTTGTCTTATTTTATATACATATATATTTCCAATATTTTGAAAATAATTGCAAATAGTTTTAATTTGTTTCTGAATTGAATTTTATTTGGTATTTAAAACTATTTTTTTAAAGAAACATGCTCTTTATTTTAAACAACAAAGTGCTTGTGGGATGCTAAGAGTATGATTGAATAAATGGATGATTGATAATGAACAACTTTGATTAAAAACTTGATTATTCATTGAGTTGTTTGCTTCAACTACTTAATTCTTGATTGAGCAAATTTAAAATTTGTTAACGAAAAGGTTAAATTAACTATTTGAATATTATTTGAATATTTTTTGACTGTTATTACTAAGTTAATTAATTTAAATAGTGTTTGAGTAAGCTATTGACGATTAATTTAAAACTTTGAGTATTTAAAACGCTACTGTTTTATTGTTTAAAGCTAGTTCTTCTGCTTATTTACTAAATCTGCTTTTAATTCCCTTAAAAAGAAATCGAGTAAATTGATAACTAATAATTTTAATTAAATACTTGACTGTTCATAATGTTGTTGAAATCTGCTATTCAATTGTTTTTGAAATCTTCGATAAATTAATGATTCATAACTCATAATTTTGAATAAAAACTTATAAGTTCCAATCTCAGTCAAAATCAATTATTTAATTCCTTTAACGAGCAATTGAGTAAATAATGATTGATGACCAATATTTTTTATTAAAAGCTTATCCATAATCTTCTTAAAACATTTCATATAATTCATTTAAAGACTAATTGAATATACTAATAATTGATAATGAACAATTTTGATTAAAATTCTGAACGTTTAAAACGTTGTCAAAATCTGCTATTTAACATTTTGAAGCGAAATAGAGTAAATAAATAAATGATAATTAATTACATTGATTCGAAACTTTGACTTTTCCTATTTTTTAAAAGTGTTGTCTAATACCTTTAAGTGCTATAGAGTAAATTGATATCGAAAGACTTAAATATTGAATAAAAATCACTTTCAAATCACTTTCAAATTCTACTATTTAACTCCTTTTAGGAACAATTTAGTAAATTAGTGATTATTAATCAATTTTATTTGAAAACTTTGTTCAGAATATTATTAAAATATAGTATTTTGAATCCTTTACAATAATTTCCAAGAAGAAAAAAGAAATATATATAATAACGAATGTTAAAATTGTATTTCCCAAATGCATATTAGCGTAAAATTGTAAATTTTATTTTTTATATTAAATGGAAGCGGAATAAATTTATATTCTGCAAGCCTTAAAATTAACAGACATTGTTTAAAATTAAGCAAAATTCATAAAATTAGACTTCTTTCTTAGATTTCAGTTTATAGTCAGTAATATATTCAAAAAAAGTTTCAGTAACTGTACATTTTACTGAATAAATGATTTTTTAATTTAATAATCAAAATTATGTAGTATTTTGATTATTAAATGTATGTATTATGTAGGAAGAAATAACTTTTCCACACAACAGAAAGTAAATTCAAAATTGATGTTTGTTGCTTTAAAAATATAGTTATTAAATGCAGTGCAAAAATTTGTCTAAATATTTTAAATATTTAAAGATGTTATAGTTAGCACTTCATAATATTCTGCTGGATTCTCTTATCGAAATTTTTTTATCATTTAATTTACATTTATTATGTATACATATAAGTTTCGATTTTAATCTAGCATTGCCATGTTTTTCTTCTCTTTGTTAGAATATAACTAAAAATAAGTTTTAATGAAAAAAAATTAAACAATAATTTATTCGAAAAGTTAAGAAAATTATCTTTGGAGATTTGAAGTTCCATTTTCATGGAAGTATAAGGTTTATGAATAAAGATAATGAAATATTTGCTTTTTTTATCAAGCTTATGGTAATTTGAGGAAAAAAAGTCACGTTTTGTAACAATAATTGTGTGAGATGTAATAGTTATGAAGTAAAATTAATGTCTTTGTGAAATATTTTTAACTATTTGATTTGTTTTAGCAATATTTTTACATGAATATGATATTGCTTATTTTCAACTATTTATAACCTAGTATTTTGGTACTCTTGGATTTTAACTATTTTACTTTGAGAAAAAAATCACCAATCATTAATAATGAAATGCAGAGTTTGTGTGTTTATATGTCTTTTTCTTTTAACTCCCGAACTATTTGTTCTGTCAACCTGAACTTTGTAAAGTAGGTAAAAGGGGGGATTTAACTCCTGAAAATCGTTTAAAAATCGTTAATCATTAATCTGTTCGGATAAGACGCAAATTAAAATCATTTGTAATTGAAATAAAAATAAAAAAAATAAATTACGTATTACAGACCAAAAGTTTTGGAAGAAAGTTACTTCATTGCTTAGGTGAAGCTTAACCCTTTTGAAGGCCGTGGTAAGTATACTTACCACCACGTTTTACCACTTTTAATTTAGGTTTCCATTTTGCAATAACTTCAGCTTTCTTGGAGTGAATTTGAATAAAATTGGTAACCATTTGTCCCTTTTAAGAAACGTATAAAAGTTACAAAATACATAATTCCTTTTGAAGTTTGTAGCATTTAAGGAATTTATTTTATAAATAAAGAAAAATAAAAGTCAGTGAGTTCCTAATAGGTCATGTTAAATATATTTACCACCAAAAAAAAGGGATTTNTGTATATAAAACTGTTTTTTCTAAGAAACATGCTCTTTATTTTAAACAATAAAGTGCTTATGGGATGATAAAATTATGATTTAAAACTTGATTCACAACGTTGTTAAAATTAAATATTTGTATTCTTGAAATAGTGATTGAATAAATGAATGATTGATAAAACAACTGATTGATGACAAACTTCAATAGTCATTGAGTTGTTGGCTTCAACTATTTAATTCTTTACAGAGTGATTGAGTAAATTTAAAGTTGGATAGCGAAAAGGTTAAATTAACTATTTGAATATTATTTGAATATCTTTTGAATTATTTTAACTTTCTTAATTGAGTAACTAAATGTCCTTCAGCTGTGTACATTAATTTATAGTGTTAAGTGATAACGATTTATTTATTAGTTAATTTTTTTACCAGTGCTAAGAACGGGTATACAGCTAGCTTAATGATGTAATTTGTATTAAAATAGTTAAGAGTTATGAGTGCATGCATGATTGTAAAATGTTTTTAGATTTTATTACGATAATTTATGTCGTGTTGTGGTCAATTGTCAACTCTAATTTTTATTTTATACCCGGGAAAACTAAAAAAATTCAATGACCAGCTCTTGCCATTAAAAATTACGTACTTTAAAAATTTATACATCGTGAGAAAAAGACAATTATTATGAAATTT